GGTTGTATTTATGCCGATTGATGGTGGGCGGGGCTTGTTCCGCTTCGGTTGGTCTCGGGATATCGATCGGTATTTATGGAACACTTTGAGGAAAAAGCGATCGAGACCTCAGAGTACAAGCCAGCAACGTGGTTCCGGTACGTGGATGACACCTTCGTGATTTGGAAACATGGTATGGACAAGCTCAACAACTTTCTGCAGCATGTCAACAGTCAGCATCCCAGCATCCAGTTTACTATGGAGACTGAAAATGACCAACAACTTGCATTCTTGGACGTACTAGTGAGGAAGCGAGGTAAGAAGCTGGGCCACACAGTTTACAGAAAACCAACCCATATGGACAGATACCTGCATGCTCTATCCAACCATCACCCAAGTCAAAAGTATGGGGTTATCAGAACCCTGACAGAACGAACCCGAAGGATTTGCGAACCGGAGAACCTCCAGATGGAACTTAAACACCTAAAAACTACGTTCGAGGCAAATGGCTACAGCAAGAGGGAGATCGAGAGATCAATGAACTCAAGATCATCACGGGATACCGAACAACGACCCTCCACCTCCCACGCATATCTGCCGTATATTCCGAGTGTCACCGACATGATTGGCAGAGTATTGAAAAGACACGACATCAAAACAACCTTTAAGCCTACAAAGAAGATCCAGCAGACCATCAGGTCAGCGAAGGACAAGAGGGGCTCACTTTCAGCTGCAGGAGTCTACCGCATTCCGTGTTAATGCGGAAAGGTCTACATCGGGACTACCAAGAGATCAATGGGAACGAGACTTAAGGAGCATAAAGCAAGCTGCAGGCTAGGACCTACAGAGAAGTCTGCAGTAGCTGAACACGCACTGGGCAGCGGGGAACACAGGATACACTTTGAGAGCTGTAAGTTACTAGCATCGGTCAACGGCTATCACAACAGACTAGTCAGGGAAGCCATTGAGATACAAAAACACCCACACAATTTCAACCGAAAGGAGGAGACCCTTAGACTCAACCAAATCTGGAACCCGATCCTTAGGAACGCCCGAGCAGTACTGATCGATATCCCGAGACGAACCGAAGCGGAACAAGCCCCGCCCACCACCAATCGGCATAAATACAACCTGCGCAGGAGAAATCGTCAGTCTACGTCCAACATCGGAGATGGAAGGACCTCTGAAGAAGCTCGCCACTCGTGCTAGCGAAACGTTAGGAAGTAATTCCAATCGTCGACGGCCTTTAAACCCGAATCAAGATAATAGCTTATTGTTGTAACGTGTTCTCTTTTCTAGATACGAGGTGTCAGTTTTTAAAATTAAAAAATTAAAATTCTTCATAACACTGGCATCCGAAAAAGGTATAATTTTGTCCTTTCTGTTTTTTTCTGTCTCAATAACCTAACACTCTCCCACAAAGAAAAAGTCAAATTGTTGTTGCTGGTTTTTTAAGGAACGCCCTGTATTTTTTTATATTTCGATAGGTCTTTTTTCTCTGATTTTAAATATGTTATATTTGTGGGAATTTCATCCATTACCTTGTGGAAGTGTCGGAAGAATTTTAGAAAAGGAGGTAGAAAAAATTATTTAAAAGTTTTTTTGTTTTTGATCTCTGCTTGCTCGGTATATTTATGTAGTCCTTGCATTGAAAGAACTTTAATATATTTCTGTATGTACACTATACAGTCGATCGCTAGTTGGGTGATACTTTCCGATTGTGTTTTTGTTTAAAGAAATAGAAAATTAGATATTTCTATAATATCAAAATACACTCTGCATTATTTTACCCTATGCCCTTCGGGTCATGGACCCATTTATTAAATTCGTTTAAAATCGCGCGTGCTTAATTAAAAACGACTTCGAGTAATTAGTGAATATCAATATTAGTAACTTTGTACAAAATTGACTTCAGATGTTGCAAATGGAAAGTAAAAGTGCCAAAAGGAACGTTAGACCATTTGTTGGAGACAACTATGGTGTGTGGAAATTTTGAATTCGAGGGATCTCATACGAACTAGACGCAATGCGAGTGATAGACAATGAAACACCTGATCCCGTTACTAAAGAATGGCGACAACTAGAACGTACTGAAAGTATTTTAGTGGAGTACCTGTGAGTACCTCCGGTTTGCAAAAGAAGAATTCACGATCAAGAAAATTTTTAAAAATTTGGATAAAATATATGAAAAAGTGTAGTGGGTCAATTGGCACTTCGAAATAGACTATTGAGTTTAAAACTCCCGGGAGATTCTTCAGTATTTGATGTCTTGAAGAAGCGGACATCTACTATTGACATTGGCGAACTCTTAAGACAGTTTTATAATTGCTATAGAATTGTTCATACAAAAGCAAGGACAAATGTTTTTAATGTGGAAGGTTTACTGTTTAACTGTCCAACTGATTAACTGTCCAGCTGAAACCAAGCGAAAACCAAAGTTTTGCATTTATGCTTGGACGTCAACAATACTTCGAAAACAACTACATGTATTTTAGATTCTGTTGCCTCAGATCACATTATTAATCGATATGGTGGCACCGATTAATGTTTAAGCGGGCGTGTTGGAATATTTATAAAAATGAATTTCAGAGATTCGTTGTTTTAGATCTCTGCTGCCTCGGGATGTTTAGGTTTATATAAAAATCACGAAGGGACTTCGAGGCGTCATGAGTGAAACTACTGTTTAAGATTATGCGTCCTGGTTTAAAGGCATTTTAAAACATGAGTATATTGGCAGTCGATCGCCACCTCCTTTTAAGAAACTGAAATTAAGTATTTGTATAATATCAAAATAAACTGTATATTCTTTTGCCCTTCAGTATGTGAGGTATTCAGTGGAATAAAAAAGCGGTAAAAATGTTCAGTTATTGTACATACGAAATGGGCAATTACAATTTTTTTTAGTGGTACCGAGTTTTATAATCTCGTTTTCAGCGGGAAACTTTTTTATTTGGAAAATTTTTCGTACTATAAGCTTGCAAAGAAATGTGGTAAAATATATGAGGAAGCTAGTGGAAGGAAGGAAGGAAGAATAGAGTTTGAAATTTGATTTTTTGAATCATAACTTGGCATTGCGGGCCGTCTGAACGCGCTCTGTTAATATAAACATTCCGAAGGTAAATGTTTTCTCCGTGAGTTGGAAATTGTTTATCTAATCTAGAAATAATTTTATACTAATCGCGGATGCTATATTTAATAAAAATCCGCAAAAAAGGAATAAAGTCAGTTTGTATTAAAAAGTTGAATGTAGTTGAAGCCAGTTGGTGAAATTTATTCGATTTGGATGATGTTTTCAGACAACTAATAAATATATGCACAGGAAAAGTAGCCACAAAAATCTGTGCAGCAAGATTTCAACAACTTTCGTTCCTTCAGCACTGTTTCATGAAGATGATTCTGCGCGAACATCTGCAAAATAAGGAGAAAATGGATTTATATCCAAATGTATGTATGGTACTCATTCAGGAATTGAAGGAATTGAAACCTACTTCTTCTATGTCATTCAATGACTTGCGCACCTCTCAGTCTTCGAAGCCGAGAGATTAAGACGTGGTGAATCATCTGACATAACTGAAAGGTTCCAATTTTTAAAGATTTTCTCACATCATCCGCCAATAAAAAATCCTGTTTGAATGTTTTGAAGAAATCGTCTTTATCATAACCCCAGAACAAAGAATCAGAACTTTGGCAGAAATTCAGAAGTAAATATGAAGAGGCAGATACGCGGATCATTCTTCATGTCCTGGCAGAGAGAGACACAGAGACAGACACATAGTTAGGTCTATGGATACCCATGTTTTCAGTTTACTTCTGCATCATTACTTTGTTAAGGAGCAAATACACGACTTTAGACTATTTGTGGAATTGGAGCCTTTGAAAGATAAATTTTCCTTATCAATTCAGAATATAATTGAAAGTTTGGGAGAAACGAAAAGGAAAATATAAAATCTGAAAATTATATCGCCTCAGATATCATGGCTTATCTATGGCCTTCAAGTCAAACAAAAAATCATATAGATATGTTAAATGGTTTTGGAGTTATTGGAGGGTAAATTATTAATTCTTTTGAATTTCCGCATTTTTGTCAGTTTCTTCGATATTACACAAAAACTTAAAATTGCCCATTTCGTATGTACAATAGCCTAATTAATGATTTATTTGAGGTTTCATCGGGTTCTAAGTCGGTTTTTTTTTCAAGAAATAAAAAAGTTACTCCACTAATATTCAACATTCTTTTTTATCTCAAAGACCCATTGTACCTTCAAGTGTGAAATAGGATATCGATCGTTCTAATGTCTGATTTGCCTTCTTATGGTGGCACCGATCCGAGTAGTTCAATTTTCAATGACCCTTCCTCATAGATCTCTTTGGCTTGGCCGTTTTGACCCACCGCTGCGAGAGATAACCTTACAATGAGATCGTTCATGCAAACTGTCAATTATGGCGTCCGCTGTATGACACGTACCGCCGCCTTGCTGGATGTGGTTCAATTTTGGCAATTTTGGCCATTAAAAATTGGTAATCAGTCGGTCGGTGTTGACGGTAACCATTGTCGCTTTTGAAAAAGTACAAACCAATATTATCACCTGGGTTGGTGTCATCTCATTTAGAACAATTTTCTTTGTTAACACAGCCAGTAATGCCAAATAGGGATCCTCTTTGATTTGAAGTCTAGTCAGTGAACAAATTGTTTTTTCCATGTTCATGAACTTTGAGCTCTTGAGTCAGTTGGATCTTGTAAAGTCTGCGAAAAGCTGAATTCTTATGCGCAGGGAGGAAATGGTTACACTTTAACTCTCTCTTGCGTTCCATCCACTTTATACTTGCTTGTTTTCCTAATTGATTAAATGTTGACTCGTCAGTAAAAGTAAAAATTTCTAATTTTTGAAACCTGAACGATTTTTTTTTTCTTAAACATAAGGACGAAACTAAGTAAATTATTAGTATTAACATAATAATCATAATGTTAAGGTAATTATAATTAAATTATTAACACTAATGTAATCTATCCTTTGTGGTAGGCCGCGACGAGAACCATGTGGTATACATTTCTGATGAAATATGGAGGACGGAAACGCCTTTGAGGTGCTACGACTGCAACTCTGAGTTCGATCCTAGATGTGCCGACCCCTTTAACGACTATACAATAGGAATAGTTAATTGCTCGGAACTGAAACCCCCCGAGCATTTGATCAATTTTGACCAGCACCCGAACGACAAACTCAAGCCGACCGTGTGTCGGAAGATCGTTCAAAAAAGTAAGTCTCAACAACGTTTGTCCGAAATTGTACCGAAATGTTCGGAGGAACGGGCCTCTCCGCATAATATGTCTATGACAAATACGGAATGTCCCGTAGGGACTTTTTGCAAATATCTTATAGGAAATCTAGGCTATTCTCCAGTTTTATGATTTTAAATTATTGCAGAATAGTTCAGGCAGATCGGTAAAAGTCGTTGATGAAGACACCGAGAGCGTGCGTGTACTCATTAACTAGTAGTTCAACCGGATCAAGATCATAAAAGAAAGAGCACAGGCAAGAAATGCATTCCAGATTGTGAAATGATAAAATATCGGCCAAAATACTTGCATTTACCACTTTCTTTTATCCAAGAAAAATTTGAGAGTCTATCGAAATCCATACTCGCGCCAGGAGAAATCCAGAATAAGTATACCTACAAGTTTGTGTTATCCGTATAATTCTGTTGAATGATAAATTTGGTTAGTTATATTTTCGGTACTATATAACTTTTATTTTTTTAAAAATCTTCCACAGACTATTATCATATTATTTGGAAACCGCCTGGATTCCTCCTGGGTCGATTGTTGATAAGCTGAATGATAGACATAAAAGCGGATAAAGAAAAGGCGTCAACTTAAAAAATATTCTACATCATTTGCAGAACGCAAACTTAAATATGCCATTTAAACTTCTTTTTCACTCATGGCCCTAAGAAACCTGTTCTACGGTTCATAAACCAGGATTGCAGAGAAGGTCGTATTTAGTTCATTTCACTTCATTGAATCATTAAAAATTACTGGAATTAGAGTTAAAACACCTAACATCTCTAAACAATCAAACAATGTGAACCGCTCCTACACCATATGTCAATAAGTATGACACTATGGAAAAAAAGTTCAATTCAAAAAGTGGTTCATCCTAATATATTTAGGATTTTATTTATAGTATTTTTATGTATACAGGGTGTTTCGTTTATAAAAATTCCAATTACTCGCTTGATTTTAAGTATTTTTTGTAATTACATACGAAATTTTGAGTAGTTTCGGTTAGAAAAATTTTCCATTTTTCTGCACGTTTTTGGAAAAATATTTTTTTTTTACACTTGAAAACTAAAATTGGGAATTTTTATTGTGGATTCATGGAAGTGGTTAATATTTAATGCTTGGTCTATTTATGGAGAAAATATATTATATGCTCACAAAGAACCATCAAAAAAGTTTTTTCTAATTAACAAAACTTATATTTTTTAAACGGAACACCCTGTATTTAGCACTTTTATTGGGTTTGGGATTTAATTTTTTCAACTTTTATTATATTGCGGTGGTTTAGAAGTAATGGCCAATTTTCTGCTCGTGTATTTTACTTTAAAACTATATAAACCTGTGTAATATCCTACTCTAACAAACTGTAGTCATACAAGTTTGTTAGAATGGTTTAAATTTTCGTAATAAATTTACCTACCTCTTTAATACCTCTTGCCGCAGCGCAATTTATTTAAATACTTTTTCTACTTCCGTCTGTAAAATACCTAATTACCCACCGATCTAGCATGCGCGAAGCGTCACTTTACCACGTCAGTTTCGTTTCCCACGAATCCGAGACACTTCGGACATTTCCGGAATTTTACCGCACGGATTTGGAAACGATCCGATGTTTTCGGAGATAGTTCCCACGCTTTGAATTTTGACGTTCGTCAATTCTGACGGCCACGTCAGTGAATGTATTCGTGTTGTTTTGCGAAAATGTACCCAAAAACTAACGGTCGTAGAAAAAGTATAGTATGCAACACGTTCGGTAAACTTTTTAACTCACTCGTTTGTGCTCCACTCGTGAGTCAAATACCGTTTACCGCACTTGTTGCATAATATACTAATTCTAACAGACACTACGGTATGATATGGCCCACTATCTTGTTCCCAAAAAAATTGAAATATCTTTCACCATTCAAACAAAGTCATAAAATACCGGGGCTATTATTCGATCACTAATAAAACTAACACTAACAACTAAATGTTAAACAAAAACTGTGTATTTCTGTCCAGGCAACAATTTTCTTAGTTCTTTTTTTTTCCTTGGAAAAATAAGACGCGGTTAGAAATGCTATTGCGGAAATTAAAACGATACTACTTGTTTATGGGGGTTAGAAAACGTTTGGTAATTAGTAATATCTCCTATTTACATGCATTACTTGTTGATTTTATATTGAATTTAAATAATTAATGTTTAAAAAAAGCTTAAAATAAGATATTATATAGGTTTTAAAGTAGTGTTTTATTTTAAAAAAAGAGTTTTCTTAATTAGAAAAAACAATTTTTTATGGTCATTGTGACCACCCTGTATAATATATTTTTGCTATAGATAGGTGAAAGCATTAAATATTAACTACTTCCACTTCCAACACTTGTTTTTCCGCAAAAAAAAATTAAAATTTCATTTCACTCAAAAACTACTCAAAACTTTGTAAGCCATGTAATGACAAAAAATACTCAAAAACAAGCTAATAATTAGAATTTTTAAAAATATTTATAGCTTTCGATTAAAAAAAAAGTAGGTTACTCTCTTGGTAAAAGGGAACATCCTGTATACATAAGAATACTATAAATAAAATATATACTTAGGGTCAAACACCTTTTGTATTTAACCTTTTTCCTCTCAGTGTCGTACTTAGTAGGATGCAATATGCCTAGCTTTGAATTTCCATTTCCTTCAATCCATATGTTGAATACCTGCAATGCAATTAATTCAAATACAATCTAAAAAATGTTCCCTATTTTCAGGAAGTTACATACCTTTCTTTTAAATTTTTTGAGTGAACTAGAACGACTTTTGATACAATGTTGGCCCTTAATACAATCCATCCATTTAACGAATAGCTAAGTATTAAATTTTGCTTAATATCAGACTGTTGCTAAATTAAAAAAAAAACTTCTAGAGATCTCTTCTGTGAACTTGTACAATTTGATATTTGTCTTTTTTACATAAACATCAATACAAAAAAAATCCCCTAACAAACATTATACATACATTGTAAACTGTAACAAACTAGAATGCACTTACATTTTCATCCAAATAGCGAAATCTAAACATTTTAACCAGGTTATTATCAATGTTTGCTTGAAGGTGGTAGACAGTGGTTCAGTATTTTTTTTTAATTTTAATTATAAGACTGCTAGACTGATACTAGACTATAACGTTGACGGAATCGGGTGCAGTCAAGCGTGAGGTGCTGAGACGCCAACATTGGTACGGTCTATTAAGAGTTGCCATTTTGTAAGTATTTCCACGCTTGGATTGCTAAAGATGTTTCCTTTGCTTTTAATGAATACAGCTTCCTTAAACTTTACCCAATGCGGTTCTCTGTATACAATTTGAGCTTCGAACTATTTGATGTGGTGTTGTTTGGGCCATACAGTACAGTGGCACATTATCTTTTTGGAAGTCCATAAAGATGTGGTGGTTTGGTATGACGTGGAGTTATAATATTATTCAGAATATAGCGTCTGTATTTTTGCAGTGTTCGATAGATTCTTCCTTCCTGTTAAAAATACCTTTGTTTCTTTCGATCTTCTTGTATTTGATGTTGTTACTGATATATATATATATATATATATATATATATATATATATATATATATATATATATATATATATATATATATATATATTCTCACGTATTGATTCACGGATGGAAAAATGTGATGACACTATATTCCGGATCATCCGTTCGCTCGTTGAACTCCGACTGGAATCCTGCATCCGACTGGAATCCTGCAGACGTTTCGCCAAAATCTCACTTGGCATCTTCAATGCTCGCGCTCCGAAAACACTTCGAACACTGCCAGCCAGTAAATCTCTACCTATTTGACCTTGTGATAATACAGATCCTATTTCGAATGACCTTGCATCTGTCGTGAGAATAAATGGTTCTTCAAAATTGGCATATTGAAAAATTGGAGGGTTTGTTAAAGCTTATTTAAAATTATTAAAAGCTGGATGACATTATTCGTGAAAATTAAATGGTATTTCTTTTTGTAATAAACGATTTAAAGGTTTTAATATTTTTGCATAATTTTGATAATATCCTGCTAATCCTAAAAATGATTTTATTTCTTTGTAATTGATTTTTATTTTAATAACTAACAAAGGACGTTGATCAATTGTACACATTTGATACGGGCTGTTACATCATATTCTGGTAAAATTGAACAAAATTCTGAAAGTTTGTAAGGTTCAAATTTTTGTTCAATTTGTTGTTGGTTCAGTATTTGTTTCTGACATGTACTTAGTAGCTTGTGCTTGTCCCGTACGTCGTAGAGGTTGGGTTCTCAGTTTTTGTTCTTTCGTCGAAAGTCAGTCAGCTTTTTTGGTACCAGGGGTTCCACCAAGTGCTCCTAATCTGTACATGCCTTCTGATCTATGCGATGAATTTTCTTTTCATTTTTCTTCACAACTTCTGGGCTCTTTTGCTTCTGTTTTCCTTTCTAGAGTGTTGATTCTTCTTCGACAAACCTCACGTTCAAGTGAGTTGAAATTTTCTTGATTTTAAACACTAATTGCCTTGGAACATAACACAATGTTTAGACACTACTTTATTTAAACTGAACAATAATAAACGTATTAGAAGGTTTACAACAAATTTCTTTATAAAATAATAACCAAAAATACAAATTCAAATTTAAATCCACAATCAAATCCAATGAAATTAAATTTATGCGGTAGCTGGACCGTGGGCGTCGAAGAGTTCTAGAACGTTAAGGAATCACGCGCTTCTTGGTCAGCATTATTTAGCAGAATATGTAATACAATACTAATGACTTTGAGGTTCAATAATAAGGTTATCCTGACATTAAGATTGAACAGACTGAATTACTCCATATAACATGCATATTATGTTTCTTCAGTATCTTTTGAATGGACGAATAAGATATGCCAAAGTCATTTTTAGCGCTCGGAATAGGCGCATGTGGAAATACGTGAAAATACGCCGAAACGTTGGTTTCATTTTCTTCTAACAGGTTTTGGAACTTCTCTTCTTCGTAGATTTCGAAAATTTGCTTGAATTCTTTTAAACTCTTTCTCATACATTGGTGGCAAATTTAATTCGTTTTAATTGATTTTTTTTTTTGAAAATTAATTGCTCATTTACGTGCGAATATAAAATATGGGGTGTTCCATTTAAAATTCGCAAGTAACAGCCAATGCCAATGATAATTGAGCCTAATCTCACGAACGCCCCATACGCAATAAGTTATTTCTCATACTACATTATGTTAAAGCAACTTTATAGGGAACCGCAAACAAAAATTCAAGCGTTTAGCTGTATCGGTTGCGAAATAGCCATAACATAGTATATTATGCAACAAGTGCGGTAAACGGTTACATAAAAAAGTTACAGAATATTTCGCAGAAACTAAAATTGTAATAATATTTAAAAACCGAAAGTTGATATATGTTAAGAGTATATGTGACAACACCGCATGACCAAAAGTATTTTACATATGTAGCTGAAATTGGGTTATATAAGGAACCAGCATTTCAGGTTCTTACTGTAAGTCAGTCTGCATAAACGTATAATAGCCTGAATAACCCTGTATAAGCCTCGTAGCCTTAAAATTAAAATTAGTCTGCACTTGATAACGGGTGGTGATACCTTAGGCCTAAAAGATGAGTAAACATCTATTCCTTTTCTGTATCTATGAATGAAACTGAAGCAAATGAAACTAAATAAAAGTGTGGTTATGTGTAAACATGGCATGCGGTATAAGTTTGAAAAATATGTTAATTTTTATTTTTAGTTCAAGGTAAAACCAGGGTGATACGCGAATGCGGCTACATCCAAGACACATATGACGACAAGAACTGCGCCTTAAGATCCGGCACCAAGGACGTGCAGTTGATCTACTGCTCTTGTACGAAATCGCTGTGCAACTTGGGTCACGCTGCCATTCGACCGTCGCCGCTACTTCTAGGTCTAATTTTTGCCGTTCTTATGATCGTATCATTGAAAATGAGAAAATAAACGCCGAATTACTAAGGGTAAACTCTCGACTGGTGCTAATTCCGTCTGATTGGATGGAATTGACAACACTTCCGAACGATTCCGAGCAAATTTGACGTTAGGAAGTAAATTGGCTTAAAACACACATTTTTTCTCAAACTCAGTTTTTTTATGTGATTTTATGAAGTAGGAATATGGAAATTAATAATGGAATATCCATGTAGGGCAAATGTCCGCTCTTTGCAACGCTGACGTTCATTTTTCATAGCGTCACTTGTATGCGGTTTGTTCACGTAAACCCGGTTTTTCAAATGGTCCCAGAGAAAATTGCGCATCAGCATCAAATCGCAAGGAATCTCAGGCACTAACCGTACGTGACGCCGTCTTGCTGAAACCACAGGTCACTGGTGTCAAAATTAGCCAATTGTGGCAGCAAAAAATCAGTTGTTGTTTCCATGGTCATTTTCAAAAAAATACAGGCCGTTGATGCCTCCTGACCACAAACGCCACCACACAGTCACTAACTTTGAATGTAATGGATTTCGAGGACTATTTGTGAATTTTATGAGCTCCAAATGCGACAGTTTTGATTTTTTAGGGGATAGTCGCATATGATGGCATACTTAAATTAAATTCAAAACGACTTACCTAATTGAAACACAAATGAGTCGGTAAATTTTTCTTTCATAGCAGCAGCATTATACTTTATTACAAAACAATATTTCAACTGATTTTCGGAATTTACGGATTTTTCATATTTTATTTTTTTCTTGCGACGTGCCCTCCTGTTGGCACACAGTACTCAACCCATGAAACTTTTAAAAGTTTTGGAACAGTTATTTTAGAATTTTTATTTATTTGAACATACACTTACAAGATAGTTAAAAAAGTTTCAACTAATATAATACAATTTTATGAATGAAGCTCGCAGGTAAAGTACTTTTCCTTTCTATCCACCTGAGCATACTCTCCGTGGCACTTTGCGTTGCATTTTTGGCATTTTGGGATCCACATTTCTTCACTACGAGATCGTGAGTAATGTTCGTCGCAATATAAAGATCCTACGTCATATTTTCGTCATCTTCTAAATTACCAGTATTGCAGAATTTTGCTTGGTCATCTTGACAGTCTTCTTCTTTTGCTAAATTTAATTATACCTTGATGTGCTTGATGAATATAACCTAGAACTTGTTTTTGTTAAATAGGTGATATAATAATCCTACTACCTTTTAACAACAAATTTTCACTGAATGAAGTATCGTGTCGAAATTCGTAAACATGTAGATCAGTTTCCAATTTCTGCTTAAGGCATCCTCTATAATTAATTCCTTACCGGGAATATCAGCGACATCATAATTATACCTCACGAGTCTTATTCAAAATTGTTGTAACCTGGGCGTTAAGTCGTCCAAACATTTCAAAGTAAGCACTTGAACGAAAGGTTTATGATCAGTTTCTAAATATATTTTTTCTAATCCCAAAATGTATTCATTGAATTTATCGCAAGGCTTACCTAATTTCTACTGTAAATAAAGTAGAAAGATAAATAATAAATAAATAGAAAGAGCTTTTTTTAACAAATTTTTCATTTCGTCAAGCGATTCTTGTTGCAGTCGCCCCGAAGTAAACAATTTGTTATGTTTTAACAGCTCGTTCAACGGTCCCAAAATTTTGGATTCATTTGGCATAAATCGGGCGCCGGAATTAATCATACCCAACCACTGCATTTTTTTTTATTTGTAGGTTCCGAAAACGCCGAAATGGCTTTCAACCGATCTGGTTCTATTTCAATACCGCCACCGGATATTACATGACCAAGAAAATTTACTTCCGTTAACCTGAAGTAACATTTTTCTTTATTTAAAGTTACTCCTTCCTTTTCCAATCGATTTACAATTTCCCTTAAAATTTCATCATGCTCCTCTCATACTTCCTGTATGTTTTTGTCGTGTTATTGTCTATAATATTTAAATAACATACCGAATATACGTTTTTAACACTTTTATTTTCTATTGCCTTCTACAAGCATGTCTACCATAGAACATAGGACCCCCCCCCCCCACGGAACCTCTCCCTGGTTGTATCGGTTGCCTGATGGCACATCCCCCTTTTTATAACAAAGCTGGGGTTCGAGAGCATGGACAAATAACTTAAACATATTCGGATAAATATGCAGGCCTTTTAGCGTCACGCTTTGGCCTAGCCGGTGTCGCAGTTTTATGCATTGTAATATCTTGCGTAACTTCAGTCTCCATATTCTAAAGGACTTGTCCTGTAAGCAAACAATGCTAGAAATATGTCATCATTTTTATTCTTTTTAATCAAACGCTTTGCCGTTTGAACAGCCCTCTCTACCCCTCCATTGCTTTGAGAAAAATTGGGAATACAAGTAATGTGGGTAAAATCGTATTTTTGGGAAAAATCTTTAAATTTTTTAGAAAATTGGCTACCGTTATCGGATATTAAAACTTCGGGAATCCTATATCTGGAAAACAGCTCTTTTATTTTTGGAATAATAGCGTCCTCAGTTAAACTACTTAGCTCAAAGAATTCAAAGAACCAGGAATGATAATCTACAACTATCATGTACCATTTTTCGATTTTATAAAAATCGACCGCAATTTTCTGCCATGGTCTACTTACAGTTTTATCTTTATAAAATGTTTCTTTTATGTTATGTCGGTGTTCAACACAATTTGGACAACTTTTTACGAGATTTTCGATCTGTGTTGATAGACATATCCACTAAACGCTCATTTTGGCACGTTCACGGCATTTAACAATACCCAAATGACCGGTGTGAATAAACTTGAGAACTTTTAATTGTAAGCTACTCGGGATTATTATTCGTTTATCTTTTAATAACAAATTTTCACAATATGACGTGTCATACCTATGTTCATAATACGGTAAAATTTCAATCGGTAATTTTGATTTGTCCGGCCAAGAGGTAATAGAATATTTCTTAAGTTTTCTACAGACAAAATCAATTTCTTGTTCTTGTTTTATTAAATTTAGAAAATAATTTTTTATCGGTAGATTCCTTTTAACTGCTATAACAAAAGTGTCTACTTCTATCTCTAGTTCGTTTTTTAAGTTTGAATTTGGAATAGGACCGCGACTTAGAGTGTCTGGTATTACGAGATTTTTACCCGGAGTATAAATAACTGTATATTTGTATCTCATTAGACGCATTCTAAATCCCTGCAGTCGCGGAGTCAACGAATCTAAATTTTTGGTTTGTAGAATCTGTAGCAATGGCTTATGATCTGTTTCAAAAATTAAATTTCTAATACCCGAACATTCCGCCGTCCAGGTCAACGCGCGAGAGCTTCTGTTTCGATTTGAGCGTACTTTGTTTCTGCTCGACTTAACGTTCTTGATGCAACAGCTACAATTTCTCGTGTTTTGTCTGGCTTTTCTTGTAAAAGACAACAACCTAATCCGTATGAGCTCGCGTCAGCACTAATAATTATGGTGTTATTTACGTCAAAAAAAGCTAAATTGGGAGGACTTTCCAAAATAAATTTAACTGTGTCGAATGCTTTTTGTTGCATAGCACCCCACAAAAATTCGTGATCATTTTTGAGTAAAGAAGTTAGTGGTTCCAAAAGCTCTGACTTATTATTAATATATTTACCTGCATAATTAATCATTTCAAGTAGTCGCATTACTTCTATCTTATTCTCTGGAATAATAAATTCGCGTATTGCTTTTACACGGTCAGGGTCCACTGAAATACCCTTCTCGGAAATCACATGACCCAGATATTTTACGGTTGTTTTCGCTGTAACACATTTTGTTGAGTTTAAAGTAATTCCTTCTAAATGTAGTTTTGACAAAACTTTATGTAATATTTCGTCATGTTTTTTAATACTGTTAACGTGTATCAAAATGTCATCCATATGGAAAACTACCCCTTCTACCCTGGTCAAAATTGGAAAAATTTATCATGAAATATTCAGGCGCACACGATATGCCGAAAGGAAGTCGTTTAAAGAAAAACCTACCATATGGTGTAATAAAAGTAGTTAAAAGCTGACTTGCCTTGTCAACCCACTTGTGGTATCCAATTTTGAAAAATAAATAGATCCATTTAGCTGTGTCAGAGTATGTTCAAACTTCGGGAGTAGAAAATGAGATCGAAGTACATTTTCATTTGACTTGGTATAATCACAGCATAGGCGAACTGTATCTCCTTTGTCTACGCAAACTATTGGACTTACCCATCTAGTTGGAGTCTTAATTGTTTCAATTATGCCTAATTTCAATAATCTGTCTAATTCTACTCTCAGCTTAGGAAGCAAAGCTAACGGGACGGTTCGAGGTACTAATTGAACAAACGGCTTAGCGTCAGGTATAATTTCAATTGATATTTCATTTTTGAATTCCCCTATATCGCTAAAAATTTCTGGGAACTCTTTTCCTATTGAATCTAAACTTAACCTGGACACATTTTCTGGATGTTTCTTAATATTAATATATAAACTAACATAATCAGTTATAAAGCAAACACTTTAAACCGAATGATTGCGTTTCTGCCTAGAATAGGTTGTCTTAACTTACGCATTACGTAGATAGTTTCCCTTTTTGTAATTCCAGCATATGTCAAATCCATCTTGATTCGACCAACTATATTTAACTTGTGGTCGTCTGCTGCCCCAATAGGACCGCACGGTGTAATTCTGTTAAAGCACCCCCTCGGAAGCATTTCAAATGGCAAGCAGTTTACATCAGCTCCGGTGTCCACAAAAAATGGGATTTTATATTCTCTAATTACTAAAATGTCTACGTACCATCTGTCGTGCTTGTCTAAGTATACCTGACCGATGAAGTTTGCTTTTTGACGTTCACCTTTGGTTACTTGAGACATGATCTGCACTTCTGGGTCCTCGGAACTTTGACTGGTACCTTCGCACTCTACAGCACGAACCTTCTTATGATTTTTACACATGGCACTCCAGTGCTCACGTTTAGAGCACGAACGGCATACAGATGTATTCGCTGGACATTTATTTTTGTCTTCACATTTAAACAAACCGCAGTAATCACACTTGGTATTGTCTGTGCTTAAAGATGTTTGATGCTTCGTGTTGT